TGGAGCCAGGCAAGGCAGGGACAACTTCCACTAGACCAGGTTGCTCCAAGACCTGTCCAGCCTGGCCTGGAACACTTCCAGGGATGGGGCAGCCACAGCTGCTCTGGGCAACCTGTGCCAGGATCTCAACACCCTCACAGCCAAGAATTCCTTCCCAATATCCTATCTAACCCTGCCCTCTGGCATGGGAAGCCATTCCCCCTTGTCCTGTCCCTCCAGGCCCTTGTCCAAAGTCCCTCTCCAGCTGTCTTGGAGCCTCTTTAGGCACTGGAAGAGGCTCTGAGGTCTCATTGGAGCCTTCTCCAGGTTAAGCCCCCCACTTCTCCCAGCCTGGCTCCAGAGCAGAGAGGCTGCAGCCCTCAGACCGTCTTTGTAGCCCTAGAAGAGGATGGTGGGGATAATATGAGGTCAGGTTGATTGCAATTGTCTCCCAATTTAGGTGTTTTGTCCTTCACTCTTAAAACCCACACAAACCTTCACCTTCAAATTATCCTAGCCCCAGAACCTTTCCCTGCTCTGGCTTCAGCCTCCAGCTCTGCCCCAGCAGTGCCTGTGGGTGAGTTGCTCTGATTTCCTTAGGAAGGAAGGTGGGATTTCCACAGCAGAGCAATTTCCAAGTTGGATTAATGGCCTCTGAATAGCCAGAGGGGACAGCATTGGCCTGCACCACTGCTTTTCCATCACAGTAAAACACAGAGCACCTCCTCAGTGCTGGCATCCATCCTGCCTCCCCAGCACCAGCGCTGCTCCCGTGGCTGCTTTAGCAATCTGTGAGAAAAAGAGGAGGTGGTGGGGATTCTCCTGCCTCCCACCTGCCTTCCTGAGAGTGGGAAAGGAGACCAAGGGCTGCCCCATGAGGGAGCAGCTGGAGAGGCTGCTCGAGGGGCAGAGCAGCCGGGACAGCCGTGCAGTGATGAATTGCACTTGTCCCTCTGCCAGCTGCAAGATTTATATTTGTGCCACAGAGTAGCAATGTCTGGGCACAGCAGCACTCTCTGTCTGGCTGCACTGGTGTTTTGACATCCCAGGCACCTTTAAAATCCCACTGAATGCAACCCACAGGCATCAGAGGGCTCAGAGAAAAGACAGGGAGGGGCAGAGCAGGGTGGGAAGAGCAGAGGAGCCTGGAGCAGCCATCCTGCCTGGGTGCTGAGCATCCTAAAGGGATCAGGTTACCCAGCAGACAGGTGGGGTGCTCCCACAAGCTCATCTCTTTTCCTTCATCCTGGCAGGTCCAAACCATCTGGACTAAAAGGCACGTGGTAAAGGGTGGTTGGGGCTCTGACAGCCAGGCAAGGTTCCCTTAGGAGTGCTCTCATCCCAGTTTTGCTGGGGAGGGCAGCCTACAGCAGAAAGTTGCTGGGACAGGCCATCACTGATGCCAGCGATGGGTGGCAGCAGTTTCTTGCCTCCTCCTTCTCATCCACACCCGGTACCTTATCTCTGGGTCCTTTTGCTCCTCCCTGCTTACTTCCATGTTTGGCTGACTCTCCTGTATGGCTGCAGCGTTATCTCAGTCATGCCTGTTCCAGCAGTTGAGGTCATTGTGTTTCTGTCAACTTCCACATTCTAGAAACATCTGCCAAGAATCCAAATCACAGGCCCCGCTGCCTCCTCCAGGCCACCAAGGAGCCCACACTGTGTGCCCTGTGTGAGCAGTGCCCAGCATCCACCCGCCCAAACATGGGCTCTGCATCCTGCCAGCCCAGGAGCTGGGATAAAGGCCATGGTGACACCAGTCTCAGGAGTCCCACTCTGCCTGCCCATGCAAATCCCCAAGGAGGAATTTCCTGGTCATCTTGTGTGCCTCTGTAGGTTCTTTGTCCCCACTAGCCATGGACAGCATGTCCTGCCTGAGCGCACCCCACTATTTCCCGTGGGTCCCACCACCCTGTCCTGCCCAAACTAACATGGAGCTGGGCTTATCCCTTCACCAGGGACAGCCCAGCTCATGGCATTGTGCCACTGTGGAGGAAGGCACAAGAGACCAGGCACAGAGCAGCACAAGGACTTTTTCCCTGTACAAGCTTATGAGCTGGGACTCAGAGGCTGCATTGATTCCACCTCTGCAGCTCTGCTCCACCTGTCCTGCAGGTGTTTGTTGGTTGGATTTGTGCCCTTGGTGCAGTCAAGGGGATGATGATGACCTCAAACTCCTCGGACATGGGAGGAGAAACACGTATCTCCTTCCAGTGTTGCTGCACCTACTTTGTTCCAGCATAAGGACACAGATGGTGACAGGGTTGGACACAGATGAACAAAAGCAGTATCCCCGCAGCCCCGTTAGAGGCATGGACTGGGATTTTGGCATGTGGTCAAGAGAGGTAGAAAGGTGGGACTGGAGCAAGACAGTAGCACGTGGACACTCAGGCCATTCAGATATCTCTTCAGCATCTCCTGGTCAGCCAGTTTGAAATGGGAGAGTGTTGTCATGTTATTGCAAAAGTTCCATATTGTTGTCTCCTTAACACAGAAGTTGCATACCTTCTTAGTGTTTTCTCGTGGAGCAGCTCCTCAGAGTACTGACACACTCTCTCTCTCTCTCTCTCCCTCACCAAGTAGCCAGCTGACTCCAATTCCCCTCTCAACCAGCCAACCCACTCTTTTATAGCACTCTTCTTCTCACTGGTCACAGCTGTGGCCTGTTAAACTCAGGCCTGTTCCTAATGTTTGGTAATTGGCCCAGCTGCAGCTCCGTAGGGGTGAGTTTACTCTCTGCACTACCTTTATTTTTTCATATCCTATCTCCCCACAGGAGAGCATGTCCCACTGCAAAGGATCCCACCACTGCTGAGGGACCACTGGTGCACACCAGCAAACTGGCGAGGACAGGATGAGGTGAGCAGAGGCAAAGGGAGGACACAAAAACCATTCTCTCTTCCTCTACCACTCTGAGATCTTTTGGGCTGGTTATGAGCAAGATGAGCTCAGGGTGGCAGGAGCAATTACTTCACAGAGTAATCAAGGCACACAGGGCATTTCTCCAGTTTGTCCCAAGCCACAGGAAGACTGTTCTAGATTTAGGATTTTCCAGCTGCAGCAGATACACCAGGATGGATGGGGTGCAGGGACATGGCCAGCAGGGTTGTAGGAGTCCCCTGCCACTCCCTGTACCCCCTTCCATGGGAGGTGCATGTGTATGACAAGCGATGAGCTCATCCTGCATGAAGGAGCTGATGTTTCTATGACCAGCTCCAGCTCTTCAGAAAAAATGAGTCATGCTGCAATCACTCTAAAATATTTTATGTCAAGAAATCTTTTTGATCCCAGGTGCTTGGAATTCTTTGCATATCTGTGAAAATGAAAGAACCTTAATACTGGGAGCGGGAAAGCAGCAGCAGTGGTGAGAGCAGAGCCATTAGATATTGATATGTGCTCAAGCAAGAGAAACAAATAGTCCAGCACAGATTGATACCTGTTGCTGTTTCAGGGCCATAAAATCCTTAGTCCCTCTATTTTCTCCCATCCCTCTGTGTCCAGTCGTTCATTAATCCTGTGGCTGGGAGAAACTTTACTCCCTGAGAAATATGCAGGGGAGCGAGAGGTGAGGTTGCGGCTCGGGGAATGGGGTTACCCCCGGATACAGAGGGCTGGGATGAGGGGAAGGGTCAGGATCGGGGTCAGAGCAGGGGGCCGGGCCGAAGGCACAGGATAAGGCGAGGGGGTGAACGCCGCAGCTGGGGTCAGGCACGGAGCGAGACTCGGGGCTGCGGCCAGGGAGCGGGTGAGGGCCGAGAGAGCGCCGGGGCCTCGGGCCGGGATGGCGGGGCGGGCGCAGGGCGAGGCCCCGGCCCGGCGCCATCACCAGCGCCCCGGCCGCAAGCGGGGAACACGGGACGGAGATCGGGCGCTGCGCCCTGGGAATGCCGGGGGGCCGGAGCGGGACAGCCAGAGGCGGCCCCGCGTGTGGCACGGCTCAGCCAGAGCCGGCCCCGCGTCTTGGGACACTCACGGCTCTCCCACAGCCGGCCCCGCCCCGCCTCACGTCAGCGCCCGCAGCCCCAACTGCCGCCGCGCCGAGCCGCCGCCACAGAGCCCCGGTAGCGCGCCGTGATCGTATAGTGGTTAGTACTCTGCGTTGTGGCCGCAGCAACCTCGGTTCGAATCCGAGTCACGGCATCGCCCGGCGGTACCACGGCACACGGGCTCCGCTTTTTGCCCTGTTCCCCGAACCGCAGCTCTGGTTTTTGTCACGTCGCGCCAATATTTTATTTTTCTTTCTTTTTTTCTGGCGGTTGCCGGCGGGGCTGAGCTGGGCCCGGCGCGGGGGGTCAGCGGGCGCCGGAGAGAGAAGGAGCGGAGGGACTGAAAACAAGACCATAACATGAGATGAAAAACATAACATAAAAGTAGAAATAATAAATAAAATAACCAAATTAAATTTTAAAATAGACCAAAATAAGACGAGAGGAGAGGAGAGAATGAGAAACAAAGTAAGAGTAAAATAGAAATAAAAATATAATTTAAAAATTAATTTAAAATAAAACATGTATTAAAAAAATAATACACGTAAGTATTTTATTTAAGTAAAATAAAAGTAAATATAATAAAATAACTACATAATTAAATTTAAAATAATATAAAACGAACTATTAAAATAAAATAGAAAAAACGAAACTAAAAATAACAATTGATGACGTAAAGGTAAATAAATAAAAATTCAAAATAGAATAAAGAAAATTAAAATATTATAAAGTATAAAAATAAAACAGTAAAAATTAGAAACTAAAATCAAGCTACATTAAACAGATAAAATACAATAGGATTAAATGAAAATAAATAAACTAAATAAAAAATGTAAACTAAATGAAAAACATTAAAATTAAGTTTAAAATAATAAGAGAGAACAACGAAATTAAATTATGACATAAACCAATGCAGAACCAGCGCCGGCAGGGCAAAAAGCGGAGCCCGTGTGCCGTGGTACCGCCGGGCGATGCCGTGACTCGGATTCGAACCGAGGTTGCTGCGGCCACAACGCAGAGTACTAACCACTATACGATCACGGCGCGCTACCGGGGCTCTGTGGCGGCGGCTCGGCGCGGCGGCAGTTGGGGCTGCGGGCGCTGACGTGAGGCGGGGCGGGGCCGGCTGTGGGAGAGCCGTGAGTGTCCCAAGACGCGGGGCCGGCTCTGGCTGAGCCGTGCCACACGCGGGGCCGCCTCTGGCTGTCCCGAGTCACTCGTGGTGCTGGCTCTGGTGAACCCTGAATGGCACACGCGGGGCTGGGGGGCCTTGCCCAGGCGCGCTGAGGGAGCTCAGACCAGCGTCACAGCTTTCGCAGTTTCCCCCTTGTCACCCGCACGCTGCCCTTCGCCATCGCGCCCTCGCCCGTCCCCAAGCCAGGGCAGCTGCAGCGGCGGGATTGGCCGGATCCGCAGGGAGAAGGCGCGGAGCTGGCACAGAGGGCAGTTTGTTGTTTGTTTACGGGCGGCGTGTGGCACGGGGTGCCCCGAGTGCCCCGTGGTATCGTCAGTCACCAGTGTCTGAACTGATTCCTGCCAACCCCGATTTGGCACCCTCGGAGCCACATCACCCCTCCCTGTGCAAACAAAGAGCGGGAGGTACCAGCAGAGTGCACAAACCTGGGCGTAGGATTCCCTTCATCCCGCGTGAAAAGGTGGTTTCGGACACACACTGCAAGGGGATGTGTTTGGTGACTTCCTCCCCAAGGGAACCAGGGGACATGACTTCATGCCACTGAAGCCTTGGGGGCCACGTGTGCCCCACTCTGGTTTTCTTTGGGCAGCATTTCCCGGGGTGGGGTTTGATTTCTACTTTCAGTATCTCTCCTGAAGGCTCGTTTTGCCAAGGGGGAAAGTCCCCCGGCTGCCCTTCCTTTGGATGGCACGGTGCCCTGCACGGCCACGCCGCTGGGTTTCCCTTGTCCGCCCTTCCCGGCAGCCGGGCGTGAGCCCCGGGAGGAGCCGGGGCGGCCCCGGGGCCCAGCGCCCGGCCCAGCTCTTTGGACCGAGCTGTTAATGGGTAACCGGGACACGGGACCGGGAGCTGCGGGGCCGGCAGCGCTGGCGGGTGAGTGCCGGGGGACGGCGGCTGCCAGGGCGGGGGAACCGTGAGGCCAGGGAGGGCACGAGGCCACCGGGGGTGTGAGGGCGCGGGGGATGAGGCCACCGGGGGTGCAGAGCGTGGGGTGCAGGGACACAGGGCAGAGGCTGCAGGGGACACAAGGAACAGGAGTGCGCGGGGACACAGGTATGCAGGGGGCACTGCGGGCACTCCTCTGCTCTCTCCCTCATTATCTGCCTGTCCGTGTGGTCCCGCTCCTGAGGGGACGGCCAATGAGACTGCACCAAAAAGACAAGAGATTTTGGGGCTGGCAGAGTGGGGAACAAGGAGGTGGCATCATCCCTGGCAGGCACTGAGCCTGAGACAGCAGCACTGCCAGGAACCCGGGATGGTCCTGGAACTCCGTGAGATCCTGGAGGTGTCACTGAGGCCAGATGGGCACTGGGGAGTGTCCTTGGAGTGGTGGTGGACTCGGGGAGGGGGGTCCTCCTGATCTCTGCCAGGGTCCTGGAGAGACATCCCTGAGCACCAGGAGCACCAGTGATGCTGGAGGCTCTGGAGGGGGTGTGAGCTCCTGGGTTCCCACCATGGCCCTGGGTCCTGCCCTGCTGCTGCGGAGCCATGAACCCGGGGACACACGGGGCCAGCACGCCCCAGTGATTCCCCGTGGTGGCTCTGCCAGCCTGTGGAGCGCTGGCCACTCCACCTTCAGCTGCCATGAGGTCCCATGATGAGGGGGATGTTCTCCAAAACTCCCCACCTTCACCTGTTGCATTTGGGGCTGAATCTTTCCCTTCAGTGGACACTGAGAGAAACTGGCAATGACCCTGTGATCTCCTCCTTCTCCACACAGAGCTCTGCAATTCTCCTCAAAGCAAAGACAACATCTTACTGCCTCTGTCCTCACACAGAAGTGCTTCTACAGACAATCACTGCCTTGCCTGCAACTGTCTGCTCTTCCCTCATCCTTTTCCAGGTAGGGGAACTGGGAGGGTGTCCAAATGCGATGCTCCAATGGTTCCTGCCCTGACATAACACTGGTTCTTCTGGGTTTGCTGGACCAGTTCTCCCAGTTCTCTTTTAGGACCAGTCCCTATGCAAACTACCAGTCATTCCTACCCCTCGTTCCTTCACTGTGTTAATTATCAGCATGAAAGGATCTTCTTCCTCATCTTACTTGGTTGTACCAAGACCTTTTGAGGATGAAGGATACTTTTTGAAAACTCCCTCTTGCAAAGGGGCTCACAGAGGCTGGTGGACACTCACCAACTTGGAGGAGGAGGAGTACCAGCACTCCCTGCTGCATACAGTCCTCTCCTATAATTCCTTGGAAGCATGGCAGAGTAAAGACCTCTCTAGAGTTACAGGAGAACAAGGAATTCAGCCCACCAGCACCATGGCCTGAGGACCCCATAGCATGGTCCTTTGATGTGCTGGGGCAGGACCTGCTCTGAGTACTGACTGCAAGAGGTGTTCTCTCAGAGACCCAAAACTGAAAAACAGAGTGGGACATTTGAGCTTCCCAGAGGTGATCCCATTTTGCTCTCCCTGCCAGCATTAGACCCTCCCAGGGTTTCTGATATACACTGAGGCAAAGGAGCTTCTGGAGATGGAAGGAAACCAGATAACCCTGGACAGCCTTGACAAGGGCACAGATAACCCAGCTTTCAGCTTCGAGGTAAATTCCCCTTCCCTTCCCTTCCCTTCCCTTCCCTTCCCTTCCCTTCCCTTCCCTTCCCTTCGAGTACATTTCCAGTTAATGATGTTTTCCAGGGAGAGAACAGACACTATGAGGAATGTGGTGGTCGACGCAGTGAGAACCAAGAGGAGAGAAGAGAAGGGAAAGGGAGATTCTCCTCCTACTGCAGGTGGGACAGTCTGCACAGAGGTGTGAGCTCTGCCAGAGACAAACCTGGTTTGGGAGCAGAGTAGGGTGGTATTGAGGTGGGGACAGTGATGGCTCTGTGTGGCCTTGTAGGGTGCCACTGGCAGGTGTCTGTCCCCAAAGCAGGTGATGGTGAGTGCTGGGGTTTCTCACCATGGCCCACCTGTACCACCTCCTGCTGCTGGAAGTGCCCAGCAGGAGCCATGCTCATGGCCTGGCTCTGGTGGGTTGGCTGCACTTGAGGTGGTTTGGCTTGGCGTGGGCTCATCTTCCATGTCCATGTCTGCGTCTCTCCTGTCTCTGGTGTGTGACTCTCCCCAGGAAGGCCCTGCAGCCGGCATCCAAGGCAAAGCATTTCTGCAAGGCTCATGCCAAGGTGTTGAGAAGAGTTGTCCTGGGGCTCCTTGGAGTAGGTGAGGACTTGCTGTCACTGAGACTCCACGTCCCCACCCCTTTGGCTGGCTGTGCCTCCAGACTCCACTGATTGAACACTGTCAAGTGTTGGAGGTTGCATCCACCCCCAGCAGCCTCACTCCCCCCTCCTCACCCCACCACTGCTGCCCAGTTCTATCTTCACCTCACTGTCCCCCTGCCCTTTCTCTACCTGCCCAAAGTGTTTACTGTTCCCCTTCTGCTCCCTCCTGGGGGAGTGCTCTTAATGTCTCCTCACGCAAAGATGGGATCCTCAAGGGTGGCCAGGGAAGGACATTGGGAGGAAATGAACCTCGTGGCTGGCCCCAGTGAGTTATGAACCCGTGATCCTACAGCCCTGATGTTTCTGACTCCCAGTGTGCCTTCTCCAGCCTATCTATGCTACTTCATTGCGGCCTGTTACCTCAACTTCCAGCGAGCCCTTGCCTTGGTGGTCATAACTGCTGTGGTTGTCTTCTTTATCTGCTGGGAGGTCTTCCAGAAGTACTGTGGGGCAAAGGTTCTGCTGTTCCTCCGCCCCGTTGGGAAGTGCTTCCAAAAGTCCTGGCCGTGGCTGAAATGGTGAGTCAGGAGAAGGAAGGGCCAGATCCCTCCCAGCACCTGGGTTCCCTTCCATGGCTCTGCTTGTGCCGTGCTGGCACCTCACAAATGGTGAGCATGGCCCAGCCTGGGGACCACTTACAAACCATTGCAGAGATGTCTGTCTGCTCTGCCTCAGTAGTGATGGCTGTTCACAGCCCTCGCTTGTGGCTGAGCCCCAGGTCTCTTCAGATACATGGACCTTGCAGTGGCAATTCCATCACAATCAGCTCCTGCCCTTCATGAGCTTCTCTCCCTATGGGAACATCATATTGTTGACAATTTGCGGTTTCCTCTGCAGGATCCTGTGGGTGGCCCTCCTGGCGGGCCTGATTGTATGGCTGGTTTTGGACACTGGCAAAAACCCAGAGCAGCTCATCTCATTAGGTGGCTTCAGCTTTTTGGTGCTGTTCCTGTTTGCCTGCTCCAAGCACCACGGTGCGGTACGTGTTCCAGGGGTGACCTGACCATCAGTCCCCTCACAGGAGGTGGCCACCCAGCACTGGAGAACAAGTGCTTTTTCCCCCTGGTATCCCCTTCTCTGGAGGAGCAGAAGCCCAGCAGAGCTGGGTGCACCCTGGGGAGCTGAACTGGCTGGGTGGATAGGCCCCAAAGCCACCTCACTGCTCTTCTTCCCATTGCTCTCCTTCCCACTTCCCACCCCAGGGCTCCCCTGCATTGCCTCTGTCCTGTTTTCTGCCATGTCCCTCACAGTGGTCAGACCCAGAAACCCAGCACCAGACCCACACCTGGGCTTCAGGTGCCTTGGGAGCCTTGGTCAGAAGTGATTGAAGTCCTGGTGCCTTCCAGCCCAATCTGCTGCAATGCTTTGGGCAGTCCCTCCATCCTGCTCCTCCAAAGCGTTATTGAACAGACAGTTTCAGTCTAGCAGGTCTGTGCCACCAGTCATCATAAGGTCTTTGTGCTTTTATCCCAGGTCAGCCTGGCAAGTTATGTTCCAGCCAGTTCCAGAGTCTCACCAACTCATTTCTGGCTCTGTCACCAACCCACGTTTGTCAGTTTCTGTGACACTCTACCAGTCTCCCCATGTTTTTCACCCCGGGGCAGTATGTGGTGTTTGTCATGTGCTGGTGTTGCAGCAGCTGGAAACAAGAGGGGGAAGCCTGTAGGCCTTGAAAACATTTCAGCTCCTGTTCCGCTTTTTGTCCCCAGGTGTCCTGGAGAGCTGTTTTCTGGGGTCTTGGTTTGGAGTTCTTACTCGGACTCTTTGTCCTCCGAACGACTCCTGGCACCCAAGCTTTCCAGTGGCTGGGAGACCAGGTCCAGGTACTGCATCTACTCATCCCATCCTGTGCCTGTGCCCTGAGATGAACAGGAAGAGCAGAGTGTGGCATGGGGAGGGGACATGGCAGGGATTGCATGCTCACAAACACTTTTGTTTGGGACTGGAGGGAAGCCAACTCTTCCCTGGTTGTCTGCAGCAGCCTGGAGCCCTCAGTGTGCTCTCCCTTCCAGGCTGTAGCAGAGCCCTGAGGCTTTGGGACAGCCCACCAGTATCCCCATCTTAGGTCTCAGAGGGTCATTCTCTGGTGTGCAGTGAAGTGAGCTGTGGGACTGGGGGCACAGCCCCTGATTAGGCAGAATGAGATACCAGGGAAGGACCTGATGGAGATCCCTGTCCTACAGCGTAACTTCTTCCCTTGCAGTACTTCCTGGGCTACACCACAGCTGGCTCCAGCTTTGTCTTTGGAAACACACTCATTGAAGAAGTCTTTGCCTTCCAGGTCAGTCAAGGAATGGGGCATGGGGAGGTTTTCTTCCGGTCTGCCTCTTTGCTGGGTCCTGGAGAGCACAGAGCTAAATGCAGCCAGATGTGCTGTGGTAGAGCTCAGCCATCTCAGAGATGGATCTCCCACAGCTGTTTTGCAGTGGTCCCTGTCCCTCCTGCCAGCCTGGCTGAGTGTTGTGGCACCCCAGTAGTGTGGGCTGGCAGTGCAGTACCACACCATGCCCAGCCTGGTGCCCAGAAGTGCTGGGATGTGTGGCTCAGCTCTCCTTTAACCCTGTGCCTTGCCTGCAGACCCTGCCCATCATTGTTTTCTTCAGCTGTGTGATGTCCATCCTCTACTACCTCGGTGTCATGCAGTGGCTTATTCTCAAGGTAGGGCCTCTCTTCTTGATCTGGGATGGCAGTGGAAAGAGGAAGAACCTGTTGGGTTCTATTATGATCAGCTGAGAGATGTCCTAGGAAAATTGTCATGGTACTAATTTGGGGTGATTTGTCCTGCTTGAAAGGATAGACACAACCCGTGTCTTTCTAGCATGTCCTTCTCAGCTGAAAAAACAGAACCTTAGAGCTGATGCTTCCACCTGGTCTGGGGGTGTTTCCCAGGATCACCTCCATGCAGGGGCCAAACAGTGCCTGGCTTCATGGGTATGGTGGCAGGGTTCCTGGAGCCTCTGTCAACCCAGTGGCCTTGTCTTTCCCCAGATCTCCTGGCTGCTTCAAATCTCAATGGGCACCACTGCCACTGAGACTCTCAGTGTGGCAGGCAACATTTTTGTGGGACAGGTAAGGTCCTGGTCTGGCAGCAGATCCAGCTCCTCAGTGCTTGCAGCTGAGCCTGCCCTGGAGAAAGGATCTTCTCCTTCCCTATGAGACCTGTGTCCCTGTATGGCCCCATCCTGAGGACAGCAGGGTTTTCTCTTCCACAGACCGAAGCCCCGTTGCTCATCCGCCCATATCTCATGGACATGACCCTGTCAGAAATCCATGCTGTGATGACTGGTGGCTTTTCCACCATCGCAGGCAGCGTGATGGGAGCCTACATATCCTTTGGGGTGAGTGCACGAGCAGCTGGATCCACCTGCTCCCTGCCACAGGGTACTGACATGCAAGAACTGCTCCGGACTTGGGGATGAGGGAAGACCCCCAGCAGGTGCCTCATGGTCCCCTTCCATAAGCAGGATGAGAGCAGGGTGTCCAGGCTCACCTTGTCCCAAAGACACCTCATCCACCCCCACCTTTGCTGGCCTGGCCAGAACCCTAGAGCCCTACCAGGTAGAAGGGGGTGTGTGGGACCCTTACTGTGTGTCACTGCACAGAGAGCAGAGCAAATCCCACAGAATCATGGGATAATACAGCCTGGAAAGACCCCCTGGTGGGGGGTCTCTGATCCACCCTCCTGCCAACTGAGGTTATGGCAACTGAGGGGATGTCCAGGTTGGTGGTGAACATGTTATGGATGGAAATCTCCCACATCCTCTCTGGTTTCCCCCACAGTTTTTCCTTATATTTAACTGAAACTGTGCCTGTAATTCTCACCTTTTCACTGGCTATCACTGAGCAGTGTCTCCCCTCCAATCCCCTTTTAAACAGAAATAGCAATGCTCACCCCCCTTCCTCTTCTCCCAAGGGAAGAATCCCTGCTCCTCCAGCATTGCCTGGGCACTTCTGGCACCAAGCCTCCAGGGATGCCCTCTCCAGTTCATCAGTGCTCCAAACAAACCTTTCCCTTAACCTGCTGCCTGAGCTCCTGCTATTTAAACATTAATTAGTCTCCTTAAATGGGGAACCAAAGGTGGAAGGTCAGAGAAATGAGACATTGCCAGGGGAGGGGTGAGGCTGGGAGCTTGGCCCTTGTCAGCAGGTAGAAGGTAACAGTGTTATTCAAACTATTGCTCTGATACCAATAAAAAGGGACAAGGAAGCGACAAGAACCATTATGATTAAGTCAAACAGCAGGAGAGATTAACATCACCAAGGCTACAATCGCTGCAGCTCCAGCAATCGCCTCCATGCAGGAAAGCTGCCCCATGTGCACAGCTGCTTAGATGGGAAAACAGCCAATTTTCCCACCTTCAGCAAGAGGAGAGCCTTGAACTGCTCTGAGTGTTGCTGGCTGATGCCAGCCACGTGCTGGAAGGCCCTGGGGTGGCAGGTGACGGGGCGCAGCCCTGCGCAGAGGTGCCTATGCCTCTGGTGTGCACGTTGCAGATTGATGCAGCGTCACTGATCGCAGCTTCTGTGATGGCTGCGCCCTGTGCCCTCGCCATGGCCAAACTTGTCTACCCTGAAGTGGAGGAGTCCAAGTTCAAGGGCAAAGCAAGCATCCGCCTCTCCCGTGGGTGAGTGTGAGGAGAGGGGCAGTGGAGTGGGGCTGCACATGTCTGTGTACTACAGGGAAGCCGTGGTGGCACATCGGGGCACAAGTGGCCCAAGGCTGGGAGAGCCTGTGGTGTGCACACATCCATGGAGTGAGCGCTGACCTGGCACGGGGGATGCCCAGCCAGATGAGTACATTGGGGTCTTTTTCCATGCAGGGAAGAGCAGAACATCTTGGAAGCTGCTAGCAACGGGGCTGCCGCCTCCGTGGGGCTCGTGGCCAACATTGCGGCCAACCTCATCGCCTTCTTGGCCGTGCTGGAGTTCATCAACGCTGCCCTCCGCTGGTTCGGGGAGATGGTAGACATCGAGGGTCTCACCTTCCAGGTATCCCCAAGAGCTGACAGATCTGCATCCCCCACCCATCCCCACCCTTGCCTGATGCCTCAGTGGGCTGCTGAGACCCTTGCTGGGTTTTTGGCAAATGCTGGCAGTGGATGCCCAATCTGGTGGCTGCGTAGGTCAGCTCTGAGTCGTTCCCTTCGGGATGCTTTTGCCAGGTGATCTGCTCCTATGTCCTCATGCCTCTGGCCTTCCTCATGGGGGCAGACTGGGCAGACTCACCGCTGGTGGCTGAGCTCCTGGGGATCAAGATCTTCCTGAACGAGTTTGTGGCGTACCAGCAGCTGGCCACATACAAGAAGAACCGTCTGATGGGCCTGGAGGAGTGGGACGGGAGCCGGAAGCAGTGGATATCTGTGAGAGGCACCTGCCTCCCTGCCAGGCACAGGGCAGGGATAGAGCCAGCTGGAATGGGGCATGGTGCTGGGAGTGGGAGGACACCTGTGTCCAGTTAGACTTGGATGTTTGCTAATGGCTGGGTGTGGGAGGAAGGAGTCAGTGAAGCTCTTTCCCATTTATCCTGCTCCTTGATGGACAGATCATGGTGCTATAGGGCCTCTTGTCCCCCCAGCCCAGACTCTTCCAGGAAGAGCCTTCATCCTTGCTCCCAAAAATAGCTTACAGAGAAGGGGTTGGGGTGGGGGACTTCTATCATGTCTATCTGGGAGCTCCAATGTGGTGCTCTGGGGCTGCTCCTGGTCAGAAGTGACTATCCCCTGCTGCTGTACCCTCCAGGAGCGAGCCGAGAGCATCACCACCTTTGCCCTCTGTGGATTCGCCAACCTCAGCTCCATTGGCATCACGCTGGGAGGCCTGTGTGAGTGTGACTGACATCCTGAATGCCTGGGCACTCAGGGAGTGGGGTCCTGGGTCAGGGAGCAGGAGCTCAGCTGAGGCAGGAGGACTTTGCTGTCCTCAAGCCTCCATGTTTGGTCTTTGCCACGTAAGAAACAGGATTTGTGTGAGGCAACCAGGATGATTTTGCACTGAATCCATGGGCAAGAGCAACACCAAGCCTGGGTGTCACCCAGCCACAGGGGAAAGAGCAGAGTCTCCAGTGCTGGGAGTGCTCAGGGCTCTGGTGGATCACCCATGGGTGCAGGGGGGGCACAGTGCTCTGCCAGGATGGACACTGGGTGCTGGCTGGGGTCACCACATCCTCCAGGGCAGGGCACTATGTGGCAGAGCCAGCTCAGGACTGAGGAGCTATCATGATGTTCCTATGTGTCCCCCACCCAGTGTAGAGCTGGAGCAAGGATCTGACTCACCCCCGTCTGTTTTGCCCCCACAGCTTCCATGGTGCCCCAGCGCAAGGGCGACTTTGCCTCCGTGGTGCTGCGGGCCCTGCTCACTGGCATGTGTGTCTCCATGCTCAATGCCTGCCTGGCAGGTAGGTCTCTGCCCACTGGCAGCAGGGCCAGAGAGATCCAGAGAGGGACAGGCACAGGGCTGAAGACCCCATAAATGCAGCATTCAGGGATGGAGGTGGCTGGCCTGTCTCCCCATGGCTCTGCCAGAACCTTCAAACCCTGCTCTCCCCTCATGGCTCTGCCAAGGACAGCCCAAGCCCAACAGTTCTCCTGGCACCCTTCATCCTTCTCTGGGCTAGAACATTCCAAGGGCAACTTTTGGAGTATGGCAAGGAGCTCCCTGAAGTCTTGGGGGGTGAGGTGGGACCTGCACAGTCCCAGGTACAAGATTTGCAAGCAAGTATAGTCAGGGTGTGGGACTTGTGAGCAGGCACGGGGTACAGGGCTCACAGCTTGCTTGGGCTATGGAGTTTGGATCCATGGTCTCTCTTAAGTCCCAACAGAAGACCTTGTCCCCCAGGTCTCCTCCACGTGCCAACAGAGGTGGGTGACTGCGCAATATTCTTCAGCACCACCAACTTCAGCTCGACCAGCTACACCATGTACACCTGCTGTAAGCAGCTCTTTGCCAGGTGGGTATGAAGGGCCCCAGAGCCATCTGGTCATGCCCAAGGAGCCAGATGGTAGGGCAGCAGCTTGTCCTGACCCTGTGTCTCTCCTTCCAGCTCAGTGCTCCAAAATGGGACTCTGTCCTTCAACGGATCCTGGGCTGAGGAGGCAGAGAGCATGCAGTGGCTTAAGAACTGCTGCACGTATTACAACCACACATCCTGTGCAGGGACATTCTAGAACTGGGGGAACACCAGGGCCTACAAGGCTTATCCCCAAAAGCAGAAAAAACTCCAACAGAAACCTGAGTGTCTGGTCTTCTCCACTCCAATGCTGACGGAACAGCTGCATGCCCCTCGCAGCCTTCACCCTTAGTTGCTGGCCCTGTGGACACAAGGAGCAACTCCCAAATAAATTATGGCAGCCCTTATGTGCTTGCCCTCAGACTCCTTCTGGCCCCTGACTATGGCTGTCCTACACAGCACAAGGTCCTCTGCTGGGGCTGCACCCCATGCCCACTGCAGACCTTGCAAGCTGAGCCCCTGACTGCTGCCAGCCTTAGGTTCTGGTCCCAGCCCCCCTCTTCTCCCCCACGGCGCATGGATGGGGTAAAGCCAGTGCTCGAAGGTGTTTCCTTTCCCCAAACACAAAGCAAACACATCCCACTGTACTTGGGTGCACCTCTCCTAGAGGGACCACAGTGCCAGGGAACAGGCCAGTCCTTCTTGCTTTATTGCACTCAAGAGCACCCAGTCCCAACACAGCCGCGTTATGTAAATCGGTATTTTACAGTCACCCAAGGACAAAGGACCCGGAGCCCAGGGCCTGCCACGCTCCCAGCCCGGCCCCTTCCCTCCACCAGGCTGCACTGAGCCACTGCTTGGGACCCCATCCTGCAGGGTGCTGGCAGCCAGCACCCTCCTGCAACACCCTGAGGAAGGGGATGCTCTGCAGGGTGATGGAGCAGACAGCTCCTGTGCCTGTCCATCGCTGCCTCGAGCCAGGGGTAGCAGGATTTGGAGTGGGTACTGCCAGCTGCCGCTGGCGTCCAGCATGTGCCAAGCAGGGGTGATGCTGAGCACCAGATTGTGTTGTGGGGCTAGGGCATACAGGGTCTGTGTATGGCAGGGGGGCAAGGAGTAGTGATTCCTGTGGGACAGACACCCCCACGTACCAAGGCAGAGCCTGGTATGGAGGGGAAGTCGCCCCTTTGCCCTGCTCCCTGGTATCCCATGTGAGGTAGAGCATCCTTACCGTAGCACCAGCCACCATCCAGAGCAGCATGGCCACCCTCAGCAGCCACCCAGCAATGGGAGCATGGCCACCCTCAGCAGCCACCCAGCAATGGCAGAAGGAGACTTCCCTGGGAAGCAGGGAGGACAGGGGTGCAAAATCCCATCCCTATGCAGCTGCTGGTACCAGTGGTAAACACCCCACCCTGGAACCAGCCAACACCCCAGAGCCCCACACCACAGCAGAGGAGTCCTGCAGCAACTGCTGGAACCCTCTGCAGGAAAAAGGGTGTGCCAGGGCACCGGGGACTACCTAGGCACTGGTGGGGTTCTCATCCTCGACGGCACTGGCAAGGCTTGGCCCGGTTACTTTATGGGGACAGAGAGAGGGACATGAGGTGCTGGGTGTCCGTGACTCCCAGTTTGCAGGGGAGCCAGGCAAGGACATTCTCCCTTGAGCCTCCACAGCTTGAGGGAGAAGCTCTGCCCCTGCCTTAAGGAAGGCCTATGGAAAGTTGAGAGAGGAAAGCGAGTCCGAGCATGGAGAGGCACACGGCCCCACAGGCTCCAGCAGCAGCTCCTGTAGAGAGGTACTGGGGAGGTGGCCTGTGGCTCACAGCCCCCGTGGCCTCGGCCCAGCCACTCACAATTAGCACACACCACACAATGCAAGCGCTGCGGGCCGGGCAGGAGCCCCACGGAGAAGGCCACTGCCAGGGTCTCCCCTTCCCACACTGGTCACGTGCTGGGCCCAGGCTGGGGGCCAGAGCAGGAATCTCAGCTGCAGCAGCTCTGACTACTGCGGGCAGCCAGCTCTGTTGCTCTCTCCTGATCTGGGTTTGCAGGCTGTTGAGGCCTCCCCTGTTTCTGCAGCTCTCCGGGAGCTCTTGGGGCTCACAGATGCCTTGCGAGTGCTCTGAGGACTTGTCAGCACCTTCTTCTGGAGCTGAGGGCTGGACTGGGCAGACTTCCTGCCCAGGCAGGGACTCTTGGAGCCCTTGGGCTTGGCTGGCTCCAGCATCTTCAGGCCCAGGATGCTGCAGTAGTGATTGCACCTGTGAGCGGCCGGGAACTGCTCCAGCAGGGAGGGAAAGCAGCTCTCCTTCAGCCCCTGGTACCTGCCAACACAGCTATCCTCATCTCCTGCTCTGCACCAGGACATGTCCCACCAGAGCAGGGCGGTGAGGATGGAGCCTGACCCCAGTTACCACCATGGCCCTTGCCAGGTAAGTGGCAGAGCTGGGGACAGCCAGGGCCACCCTGCCCCGGAGCTGGAAGTCACTCACCCTTTCAGGTTGGTAGCAATCCGCACGTTGGTCAACTTCCAGCCCACTCCTGTAATTTAAGAGGACAACCAGTCTCTGTCCAGAGAAGGACAGCCACCAGTACTAAGAGCAGGTCATTGCCCTGGGTAGAGGGTTCCATGGCATGGGGTGGGAGAGAGGCAGGAGGGCAAGCATGGGGCTTTTTTTTCTTTCCCAGGCTGGAGGGTGGTGATGGGCCATGGGCAGCACACAGGAGATCCCCTTACCTTCCATGTCAGTCACGAGGATGTTTCCATTTGTCCACTGGTAAACCCAATGCTGGAAGGTGCAGCATTTGAGCACAATCTCCGAGGTGCCTCGTGCCACCAAGCTGCCATCTCTCTCAGTGACACAGTACTGCTCGCAGGGCCTGCCAAGGTCCTCCTCCATTGTGGCATAAGGGATGTTGTTGGCCGGACGATAAATCAGGTACAGAGGAATTATCCTGTGTGGGAGTTCACAGACAATGTCAGCATGGTGAGCTCTCCATCCTCTGCAAGTGGAGATTCACACCACGGCCTGCAACCCTGGCTTTTGCCTTCCTCCCAGTATCCCTTCCATTTGCGGGAGTAGAGTGCACCGCCTTTGGGATGCCCCAACACCCACAGGGAATCTTCCCACCATCCCCTGCAATGCTCTGCCAGGGCATCAAGCCAGTGGAGCTGCAGCACATCACTTACTCAGGCACCGCTCCAAAATCAGGGACTGCTCGTGCCTCAGCAGCAAAGATCTTGCAGTACTCACGACTGGAGTTTTGGACTTTACATTCCTGGAAGTGCCAACAGAAGAGTCAATAACCTGTCCCATCGTGCACCACTGCCTCCCTGGGACCACTGCCAATTGTTTCTCTGTCCTGGTGGTCAAAGGGTGATGGGAAAGTCCTGAGCAGCTCCATGTTGCTCAGGTGGAAGAGCTGAAGCTAAGAATGGCAAGGACATGTCCAGCACTATGGAGGGGCTTGACAGCTAGCTTGCAAGCAAAGCTGAGTTAATAGAAGACATAACAATTGATGATTTTCCTGTATCCATAGCAAAGAAGAAGACAAGGCCATCAGCATGGAAACGGATTAGAAAAGATACATGAAAATTTTTGTAAGCCAGACTATGTGCATAAGTAGATATGTATACATGCCTTATTAAGTTTCTGTACAACTTTTGCCAATTATATTGACGCTAATTGCTTTGCACCTATGAATGAAGAAGACAAGGCCATCAGCATGGAAACGGATTAGAAAAGATACATGAAAATTTTTGTAAGCCAGACTATGTGCATAAGTAGATATGTATACATGCCTTATTAAGTTTCTGTACAACTTTTGCCAATTATATTGACACTAATTGCTTTGCACCTATGAATATAGTAAGTTATTGTAATGTAGTTAATAACTTAAGATCATGCTTTGTTAAGACTATATAAGCTGGAGAACATACAGAATAAAAACATTTTTCTTCTTAGACTCTAATCATGTGTGTGTATGTCACGTCCCACCTACCAGCCCTCTGGCTAGACCACCCCAGAGCATTCCAAAAGTGGAAGGAAATAGCAAAAGTGGGCACAGAGCTGGGGACTATCTGGGGACCAACTCATACACAGGTGGGGAGGGTGGGAGGGAGAAAGGTGGATGATGGCCCACAAGGATACCTACCTGGATGGTGATATCATAGTTCTTCTCAACAAGGCTGTTCTCATTCTTGGTCCCAAAGACGATGAAATTGTGCACTTTGATGACGCAGGTGTGGCCGGACTCAAAGACAGGCTCCAGGCCGTAAATGGCTCTGGCACGGCAGGCCTTGCGCAGGAAACCAGCACCCACCTCCATGTCCTCGCTCACCACGCGCCCGAAGAGCTTATCCCCCCAATAGCCTGCATCAGCCAAACCCTTGGCAAACACCATGGGTGTCATCTCGATCTCCTCTCCAACTGGTGGGAGGAAGAGCTGGTGAGGGGGGGACAACATGGGCACGTCCTGCTTCTGCCCCAGAGCTGCCTGCCCCACTCAAGGGGCAGAGTCACAGCTCATCATGTGGCCCTTACCTTCAATCTCTTCCCGCAGGATAAATCCTGACAACACTAGAGGAGACAGAAAGCAAAGAGGTGTCAAGGTCCTGACAGGATCCCCCCTTGCCCCATGCACTTGCACAACTAGGGATGGCAGGTAGGATGGTGGGAATCAACTGGCATACAGAGGCAGAAGCACCTCACAGAGATGGTGTTACAGAATGTGCCAAGGCTCCCCCACTGCAGCCTGGCACCAAGCCTTCTCTGCAGTTGGTCAAACCACCCCATGGCACACCCAGGAAGCTGTGAGAGGCTGCTGAGGGCTCCTCACCTTCTGGGCTGAGCAGGAAATCTGTGGAGTCAGTGCCATACTCGTTGCTGATCACACACCGATAGACTCCGCAATCCTTCTGGGACGCCTGCACAACAGCCAAAGCTGCCTGGCCCTCATCGCCAGCACTGGAAAAAACATGGAGCATGGCCACATCCCCGTGTGGTGGGGGGGCCACATGGGAGCCCTGTGACAGGCACTATGGATGGGCAACATACTGCCCTTGGCGGGATGGAGGAAGGCTACAAACAAAGCCATCCCAAGGGCAGCCCAGCTGCTCCCCCAGCATGTCACAGCACCAGCAGTCCTGCCCTGTGGTTTGTACTAGCAGAGATGCTTATCCTCCAGACAAGCCCTGCAAAATCTGCCTGGGACTGGGCTACAGACTGATAAAGGTACTTGTCCCTGAGTGAGGCTGGGTCAGGGCTTCACAGAGAGAAGAGGTGGGACCCTCATCCTGAGACCACTGGCTGAGCAGGCTCTGCTCTGGTTTGCTGGAAGGCAATGGCCACTCCTGCCCATCTCCCCCAGGTCAAATATCTGCCCCAGGAGACCATTTCTGCCACAGAATCACCTAATTTATCATCTATTCATTATAAAGGGAGCTCAGGGGACACCAACAGCATCAGGCAAATCCTAACTGATGTGGATGATGTTCCTA